CCCATCTGCCTATGTGACTAAGAGACTCTGAGAGCATTTTTGCCCCAGAAGGGATCTCTCTTTGTCACCCATGGGGCAGTTAAAACACTCTGCTAGATCCCTAACTGGCAGCTCCAATTCTGGTCTGTTTAAAATGAATTTATGCTGCTGTCAGTCCTCTCATTCACAACGGAAAACATCATGGTTCTCAGGTTATCCTGCCTCCAGTTTTCTGCTTTTAATGGTTACCAAAACTATGAGTAACCTTTGGCAGACGGTCTTTCATATAAATGAGAATTTTTTTCATGTTGCTTTAATCCACAAATCACACTGGTCACCGGTAGTACCATCAGTGACCATTTGAGGTAGAAAAGCTTGAGTGAGACAAGCTTTTTTTTAAAACTAAGTAGTCTCTTTGTACATGATAACCTTTCCACATGAGTTTTCAAGATGGCCAGTGACATTAACATTTCTGTGTGATGTTCTTCTAATGCTCTTTTTTTCATTTAATTACATAAAGTTGGCAATTTTTTCTGCCTTTTATAATACCTATGTATTTTTGGAAGGTTGAAGCTGGAATATCAAACTATGAAGCAAAACTTCACCCTATCAAACTGTTCCAGGGGAATTTACTATAAACACAATGTATAAGATCAAAGTCCCAATTCAATTTCACTTCAGGACAGATATTAAGAAAACAATTTTCTGAAATCTGCCTAGATTTCTAACCATCTTGAATGTGTAAGAAATGCTTACAACGACATCTGTCAAACACACATCAATGCAGTTAATAATTCCACATTTCTTTGAATCATATATCTATTTAAATCTAAAGAGGTATCTAAAAGATAATTGCCATTAAATATTTTTGTGTGTGACAGCTGGAAGACATGTCCGACGCTGTATTCTTTTCAATGTGCTGATCAGTGTTACATTCGGAAAAGCTAATGCACTATACAGAGAGGAGAAAGAGTCTGTCACAGAGTAAAAAGCCAGAGGTCCTCTCACTAATTTGTGGACTCAAGAGAGCAGAGCCGTCATCTGTGCCTTGAAGATAAGAAGGGAATCAGTTGCTAAGGATTACTTGTGACGTCTCCTCCCCACCCCACCCCCCAAACCCCTCTTCCTGCTTCTGTAGTTAGAAAAATTTTATGGGGAAACTTTTTGTCTTTACTTTCAGTAGTTCATAAAGGTGTCTTCAAAGAAACTTACTTGCTCGTAGGAAAAAACAACTGCCTGTTTACAACACCGTATTCTTGTATACGTGAATAACTTCACATATTCAGCTCACAAGATCCCCAAAGCTCTACAGGCTGTATAATTCAGTAAAGACGTTGGGCAGCACACTGCCATCATGCAGTTCCCTCCAAGACAGACCTTATTCAAGGACTAAATGCCTATACAGACATTACACTGTCCTGTGGCATCTAACCTGAAGAAGACTTCCATATCCAATTCATAGTGTGGAAAATGTAAGATATACTTCTCTGGCTTATTGCTGCCAGATGCAAATGTCCTTACTCTGATAGATGCAAGAAACTCTGCTTGAAAAGGTACGTAACTACGGTGTCTGAATTACTCAGCTTCAGCTAATGACCACAGTCAAACGGATTTTTCTGAAGTGTGGGTCATATAATTTTGAATAAAATATGTCTTATCACAGAATGGTTGGTGTTGGAAGAGACCTCTGGAGATCACCCAGTCCAACCCCCCTGCCAAAGCAGGTTCACCTACAGCAGGTTGCACAGGTATGCGTCCAGGCAGGTTTTAAATATCTCCAGAGAAGGAGACTCCACAACCTCTCTGGGCAGCCTGTGCTAGTGCTCTGCCACCCTCAGAGTACAGAAGTTTTTCTTCATATTCAGATGGAACTTCCCGAGTTTCAGTTTGTGCCCGTTGCCCCTTAACCTGTCGCTGGGCACCACTGGAAAGAGTCT